TGACAGGTCCCCTAGGAATTCACCAAGGGTGGGTTCCGTCTCTCTGGCCAAAAAGCAGCCTGTGGGGCGAGGTGGGCGGGGAGGTGGAGCTGCACCTGTCCCGGCGGCAGGGCAGCCGCGTCACCAGGCCGCTGCTCTTTGCAGTGCGTTATCTTATTATGGCAACGGGGACACATGCAGCCGGGCTGAGGTAAAGCCGGCCCCGTGCTCACGGCGTTCTCCAGCCCGGGCTAATTTGGGAAATGATTTTTCTGCAAGCTCACGCATGACTCATCGGTGCAGGCCTCCCACCAGGTCTGCTGGCTCCGAGGGCTCCCATTCAAGCCACCTCTGCCAAGAGCTGCTCAGGAGACCAAGAAGCATTTGGGGCTGCAGGGCTGGCTTTTGAAAACACACTCAGCCCACGGCTGTGCGGTTTCTGACCCCCTTACAGCGCCACCGAGGTGATGCATGTTCGTGACATCACAGGCGGCCTGAAGACCACGCTGGGTCTTCCTTAACTTAGCCCAGGGTTTTGGGGCAAGGGGACAGACCTGAAAGAAACACGAATGGGAACCAAGACGGAAAGCCGCTGTGCCCACAGCAACAGGAAGGGCTGCAGGCGGCACTCCGTGCGACCCAGGGCGGCAGGGGGCCACGCACGTGTCAGCTGCCACTTTGCTGCACTGAGGCTGCGACTGCAGGCGAGACACCGCATCCCCTGGCTCAGTGGGGACGGCCGGCGCTGCCCCTCAGGACCGCTGGGAGGACCAGAAATGACGTCACCCCTCCCCATCCGTTCTCTTTGCCACAGGCAATTTCAGATGCGCTCCGGACCCTGTGATGTCACCCCTGGACAGTAACCTGCGGGTGGCCAGGCCCCTGCGGGCCCTGGGCCACTGAGAGTGGGTGGCCACCGGCCGCTGCAGACACGCCCTGCTTCTTGACAGACACGTCTGACCGCTAAGACTGCTAATGGCGGGGAAAAAGTGTAAGAGTTGGAAGGCATTAAAAGCGGGTTGAAGCACAGTGACCGCTGCTGCACCAGGACACGCAAGCCCACATGACAGGGCGTGAGCGTCCCGTCTGTCCTGAGACAACGTGTCACGAGTGCCGCCGCAGATGCAGTCGGTGGCAGTTTCTCTTTTAAGTTACAACAAAAGCATCGGGGACATGAAAACATGGCACTGGAGTCAGGCACCATGTGTATCCCGTCCACAGGCCGGGTGCTCTGGGTGAGCCCCTCCCTTTCACCTGCCCGCCCCAGCAACCCAAGACTGTGGCAAGCCCCTGCCCCCAGCTGGCCGGGGGTCCCTCGGTGCAGAAGCTCCTACTCACTGCGGTGAGCCAGGGACACAGAGTAGGGCCGTAGCACTGACGTGCTCCTGGCCTCGGACTCGGGTGTCTGCCCCAGGTTGAGGGCAAGGCCCAGCAGGCGGGGTCCCTGTCATAGCCCAGAACACCTGCAGGCCCCAAGGTGGTGCAGGGTAGGCGGTCTGAGGCGTGAGGGCACCAGAGAGCAGCCGGTGCGTCTGGCCAGCGAGTGAGGCCGCCGTCCTTTCTGCCCACAGCCGTGCCCACTGACCGACGCCGCCTCCCTGCCTCACTCTCAGCCTCAGCGCCTCGGAGCGCAGGCTCCCGACGCCCCCCACCTCCACCCCCGCCCTGGGGAGGTGGCTGGCTGTGGCCTCCTGGACCTCCCCGCACTGCCCTGCTGCCTGCCCAGCACAGACACTGGCCCCAGGGCCCCTACAGCACATGAAGGGGTGCCCCACCTGGGGAACCGGGGAACAGCCCGGTGGGCGAACAGGGCAAAGCTCTCGGTGCAGATGAAAGGCAAACGCACACAAACATTTCTCCGAGGAGGGGCCATCAGTGGCCCAGGCAGGGATGGGGCAGCAGGCAGTGGGATGGGCCACCCGTCCCTGCCTGTAGGAACGCAGGCTCGGAGTCACCAGAGTTCCCAGCTTTCGAGCCAACCAGACACCTGAGCCTGGTGACTGGCCTCAGGACTTTTACATTCTCGCCGTCAACACCTTCTCGTCTCTTCACCTGCAACAGGTCTGTGGACCCAGTCCAGCCCACGGCCACCGGCCTGCCCCCCCACTCACAGGGCAGAGCGTTGCTTAAGCTCCAGACACGTTCGGGCCCCTGCCCCAGGCCTGCTGGGCTGGGGGCAGCTGAAACCACCCTGGGGCCCGCCCAGGGACACACGCACTGGTCCCCAAGGTGCCTCTGCCGTCTTTCAGACCAGCCCCGCCCAGCTCCTCGGGAGCAGCCTCCTGTCCTCACTGGTTCTGCGCACAAGCTCGCCCCGAGACCCCCTCGGCCGCCTCCTCGCCTCTGAGAGGTGCCAGAGCTCACAAACGTCCCCTGCTCCCAGCCTTCTTCCCGCCCCTCCACATCCAACCCTCATCAAGCCGAGCTGGACAGGCCCCGGGCAGCAGACTGACCCCCGCTCCCTCAGGCACAGAGCCCGCAGTGATGGCCCACGAGGCCCGGGGCAGAGACAACTGGGGACAGCTCGCTCTGAGGCCTGCCTTTCTATGTCCCCAGGAAACGGCAGGAGGGCAGCCCCTGTGGTCTTCGGGCCCCACCACAGCCAGGCACACGGAGTGACCAAATGCACCAAGGAGCCACCCCGGGGCCGAAGAGGCTGCACTCACCAGGGGCCGATCAGGACGGGAGAGCAGGCAGGAGGCCGGGTAGCCGGCAAAGGGGCTTTCTCTCACACTCAGAAAGCTGGGACTCCCTAAGCCCGACAAGCGAAAGCCCTCTGCTTCCCGAAAGAGGAGATCAGGAACACCTGTAAGTGACCCTGTGCTGCTTCCAGTTCCCGGAAACTGAACGACAGTGACGGCTTGCTGGGCATCAGGCTTTGGCCTCCAGTCTGTCACCTGCTCCCAGGAGCCCCACTCCACCTGAGGACCCTCCCTGTGAATGACTCGGCAGCAGGTGCACTTGGAAAACTCCAACGGAAACCTCGCTGAAAGGCCAAGGGGAGTCCACTTGGAAAGTACCACCAGCAAGGCGCACCCCCTCGCTGCGGGAGTGTCCCGTCTTCCCTGGTATGCACAAGTGAACCCCAGCAGAAGGTCTCACGCCACAGGGCTGGGCCTTTGCTGGCCCCATGGGGTGCCAACCTTCGGTTTCGGCCGCCTCTCACCAAACGCACCTTCCTCCTGAGCTCCCCACATCCCGGGGGCCCTTTCCACTCTGCTCTCTCTCCCCACCTCCACCTGCACGCAGAGCGCCCTTACCCTCTCCTCAGAGCCAGACACCAACGCCGGCCCTGCAGAGGCCCCTCCCCTGTGCCTGCCAGCGACTCCAGGGAGCCAAGCGTTAAGCTGGAGGGCGCTGTCCCACCTCAGAAGCCCGTCTGTCTGCCTTCACATCTTCCTGCAGCCCCTGGCAGCGGGCAGCGCCCAGAGGAGCCCCGGGAGCAGCTCTGCTGACACGAGCCGGCCTCAGGCCTGTGGTCCCCGGGTCAGTTCCCGGGGTCACGGAGAAGGCAAGCAAAGTGGCCTCTCTTTCCCAGAGGCCTGGGTGGGATGGTGGGTGCTTTTCATCTCGCTCCTGTTACTTTTCCACAATTTTCAAGTTTTGGACCACGAATACACCCTAACAGTCAAAGAGTACCCTGTTCGTGTTATTTTAAAAATAAATTCTCCCACTTTCCCGCCAGCCCCCTTCTGAGACATTACCAAAGGGTTCCTGAGAAATATGATTCACAGATTAACCCAAGATATTTCTGGAACCCCACATGTGCCAGGAAGCAGCTCGAGGTCCCCAGCCAAGGCCCTGGGGCTGCAGACCAGTGGGAAAAATGCCCCAGAAGCAACACCTGACACGGAGCACCCTGTCCCAGAGAAGACCCCCGGCTCCTGGTCAGAGCAGGCCACTCGGCCGGCTGCTGTCTTGCAGCAGGGGCTGCAAATATCTCGCCCACAGCCTGAAAACCAGGACCGTGTTCTCTGTCACTGAGAATCTGCAAGGAAGTCATAAGCGATGCATTTAAGGTGCTCAGCACAGAGCCGGATGTATAGAAAGCCCTCACTAAAGGCCACAAAAATTTTCTTCCTGTGTTTAAACCACTGCCTTCTGGGTCCACTCCCAGGCGCATCCCAGCAAAGTGACTCTCTTGGTTCAACCTGGGGAACCGCAGCTGCTTCCACATCAGAGTGCCCTGCCCACCGGAGGCCGGGGAGGCCGGCGCAGCACCCAACCCAGGGGCCCCGCTGCTCGCACCCGCAGTCTGGCTCCGGAACAGGGGCCCTCACCTTGGACCAATGATGCACCCTGCAAGGTGTCGCTGGCTAATTAAGCCCCAGGCCCCCTAAGCACAGCCTAATTGAACCTCGGGAGACACTATTCCCCGTCCGGGGAAAAACCGGGTCCGCGGAAGGCAGCTCTCCGAGATCTCTAGGAACACACAAAGAGATGAGGTTTGCGTGCAGATTCACAAGCTACCCCAATCCTAAGCGGCTCCCCACACGCCCTGCTTCCAGGGCTGAGCTGGATACCGGAGGAAAACTGCACTGAGCCCTGAAAAGGCCCTGACACATCCTGCCTGCTGCCTTTGAAGCCACCGAAGTAGACACTTCTGGTTAAATCTAAACTCGAGGTTCATTAGAAATGACACATTTTATGGCTCCGCTCCATCTTCCGTCTAAAAGACAACCGCCTGGCGGGGCTCGGGGCGTTGCAGCCACTTGCACATGCAGCCGTGGCTTCTGCCGCCCGTCGCCAGGTCTGAGCCGCGGTCAGAAAGTTCCCGCGGCCGGCCCGGCCCCAACCCCCAGCCGCCGGGCCGCGGCCCCCGTACCCGCCGGCCCCGGAGCTCGCCCGGCGCCGGAGCCCGCGGCCGCCCGTGAGCCCTGGAGAGCGCGGCGCAGGGCCGCCCGCCGCCTGCGCCCCGAACAGGCCCGGGCGCGGTTTCACTTCTGCCCCCGGCGCACCCGCAGGCCCGCGAGTCCCGGCGGCGCCGGTGGCTCCGCCGTGAGCACCGCCCGCACCCTCACCTGCTTTCTCGATCTTGCCGGACATTTCCGGGCTGCGCCGGAGGCCGAGGCCGCCGCTCATCGGGCCCAGGCCGGGCCGCTGCGGGAACCCCGGCCGGCGCGGCCGCCGCTCGCCTCGGCGCTGGCCCGCCGCGCCTCAGACCCGCGCCGGCATGGCGGGCTCCGCGGGCCGCGGCCTGTGCGCTTGGCCAGCGGCGCTCCGGCCGGTCCCGGGCCGCCGCCGCTCCCGCCACTAGCCGCTACCGCCGCCGCGCGGCTCCGCCTCCTCCGCTCCCGCCGCGGCCGCTCGCCCAGGCCAGCGAGCCGGCGCACCGCCGCGCCGCCGCACCGCCGCCGCCCGCCAGACCTCGGCCGCAGCCAGAGCGCCACCTGCCGGGCGTCCGCCGCGCCGCCGCGGGCCCAGCGCCCCCTGCCGGCCCGGAGCCGGCCTGCACCTCCCGTCGGAGACACAGCGCCCCCTGCCGGCCAGGAGTCTCTGTGGGAGGGCTGGAGGCTGACCCGCCCTCCCCCCTCCGCCCCCCGCCCTGCGCAGCCATGACTGCGCGAAGCCTTCACGCCAGGGCCTGGGGTGGACAACATCCCGGACTCAGCATTCTGGGCAAGCCAGAGTCTTCAGTCCAAGGCCCAACTTAAGCAGGACTCAGTCCTGGTTAACCAGATCCATAGTCCATGCCAAGGCATAGGGCCTATACCGCCCCCATAACTTGGGTCTTGGCAGCCCCTGCCAGTCGAGTCACCTGGCCAGGCCTAGGCCTGACCCCACCAAGGCTCAGTGCTCCCAGCCATCCCAGCAGTTCCAGACCTGGGACTGATTCGACCCAGGGTTTGGTCGGCCCTGACCTTCTGACCCCCATGAGCCACGGGGCCAGGTCTGGGTCTGACCCCACCTCAGTGTCCCCAGATTCCCTAGAGTCTCCATGCTACAGCCTGGGCCCAGCCCATTAAGATACAATGACCCCTGTGTGCCCTATTCGCTCGACCCCCAGATGGGGACCAAGGGATCCTCCAGGCCGGAGCTCAGCGCTGGGGCCCTTTTCTAGCACAGTGATGAGTTCAGGAAAAGCCACTGGCTGAGATCCCTCCTGGGCTGGGCTCTGTGTCAGCCGCCACGAGCCCTGCAGAAATGCACACAGGTGATGCTTCCCTCCAAAAGGTTCATATTCGGAGGCATCAGAATATACCATATAAGGCAAGTACAAATAACAACAAATTTCAGTGACACAAGGGATGTTCGCATGTGGGAAAATCTCCTGCCTTGTGCTCGCTCGGCCACAGGTAGAACACAAAGAAGTAACAGGAAACCAGCCCAGCTAGTTTTCCCACTAAATTTGTAAACTAAGTGATCTGGCGGTGGGGACAGTGTTTGGGAGCGCTGTAGGGAGAAAGAAAAGTGGTTGATGTTGCCAGAAATTCCTATTTGCATCTCCCGCACACTCTGGTGGGTTCACTGATTCTGTCTCTGGGCTGGCCAGAGATGGCACCCACACTCCCAGCCATGAGTGCCAGGCCTCTGGGGGTCAGAGGCAAAGCCAAAGACTGACAGGTGCATTTTCTTTCCGATCTGATGGATGGCAGCTCTGAGTCCGGGTGGCACCGCCCGGCTTTGTGGGCAGCTTCGATGCTGGGCAAAACTGGCCCTGGGCCCTGCGCCCACCTCCCCAACACTCTCCCAGTTGTCCCCAGTTCCTCCAGCTTCTGCACTAAGAAGGGCCTGTATTTTAGCTCCGAAATCCTAGGTGCAAAGCAGAAAATTAAACGGAAGAGTCAGCAGACAGGGGTTCCTAACAGCACAACAAACTGTATTTAATAAATCATGATGCATCACATGACGAGGGATTTGCAAGCAGTGGAGTCCCGCAGCACCGGACATGACTATGACCTGGGGTCACGGGCACTTATTTCATAAACCTGATTCACTGATGGTGTTTGTAGCTGCCATGGGTCGCACACAAGGTAACGAGGCAAACAAATTCCTAAAGCTCTGTTCTCCCCACTTCAGGGCCTTCTCTCACACTGCTCTTTTGGTCCAGAATATTCTCTCCCCTCCACTGCACTAGGTTGTTCCTAGTCACCTTCCCCGTCTCAATCTAACTCTCGCCTGGACAGAGGCTCTTTCCCCAGTGGGGCCAGCTCCCTCTACTGGTCAGGTCACTGGATTTCACTGTCAGAAACCCAGCTCAGCTTGATCAGGACTAAAAAGAATTTGCTGTCCGTGCCGACTAGCAGACCAGAGACACAGCCGGGACTGCACCTAGGCTCGCAACACAGCGCAGTGCTGCTCTGGGTCAGCTGCGTCCTCGGGTGGTCATGCTCCCCACGGCGGCAGCGTCTCGTTGGCCTAGTTGGAGCTGCATGCCTGTCCCTGAGCCAGTGACCGAAGGCAAGGGGGTAGGAGGTGTATTTTGGCCAGGCCTGGGAAATGCGCTAAGTGCAAGAAAGCTGGGGAAGGGATGTCTTAGAACCAGCAGCTGGTGGTGGGGATGGGCAGAGGGCCACAGCAGCTTCAGGGGAAGAGATGCTGATGACGCCAAGTCCACGCTGTCCGCGTCAGCACGGCAGCTGAGGGAGACGCTGGCAGCCTCTGACGGCACTGCTGCGCGGCACACGCCTGTGAGGCGCTCCTCGAGTCCCAGTGTCCCCTTAGGGTCTGTCCCCTCTGGACATCGTGAGCTCCACAGGGGCAGGGGCTGTGCCATCTGCACCCTTGGGATGTTGATTTACGGAGGTGGCCGAGTGACAACAGGAGAGGCCTGTGCCATTACGAGAAAATCCATGACCCACGTTTCCTGTGAGGAGGAGGCACGCCGCCCAGGCAGGGCCGTGTGGGGAAGGCTCCCGGGGCTGGCAGCCAGGAGACAGGAGCGAGGGGAATGTTGGGGCCAAAGCTTTTATTGGGGTTTCTTCGGGAAGGGCAAGGCAGGGCAGATGGACCAGTGCAGGACTGACCAGTGGGAGCGATTCCAGAGGGCTCTGGGAGATACGGGTGGTCTCTTGTCACCTGGCCCTGGGGTGGCAAGTGAAAAACAGCATTAGTCCAGGGACCACACCCGGCTCCTGCACCGTGGCACCAACTCCAGTGCATTCAAGGAGGGGCTCAGTCTGTACTTGCGTCTGTGCTGCAGGCTTCTCCCAGTGTGCCAGAGAAGGACAGACAAGATGACCATCACAAGGGTCTCCAGACTGTGCACAGGACAGCCAGGTGGCCAGGAGCCTAGTTGCGATGGGCCCTTCCCAGAAGGTCACACCCTCTCCTTGGCATTTGCAGACAACAGTCAGCTCCTGGGACAGAGTCCTGGGAGACGAGGGTGGAGACGGTGAAGCGAGCGCGGCAGCCCCAGGGCTCACCTCAGCTCGGAGTGTTGGCACCTAGAGCCCAGGCACCTGCCTGAGCTCCAGCTACAGTTCCCCAAGGACACGACTATCTTCATACATCTCTATCACAGATCAGAGGAGAAGGTGGAGGCGTTAACAGTAGCATTAATGATAATGAGGGCTGCCCGTGGCTGGCGTGTGCTCAGTCACCGCCACACCTCACAGCAATCCTGGGAGGGTCAGGGTCTAGGTCAGGGAGCGTTTGGTCACATGTCGCAGACACCAATTTAATAATGGCTCGGCAGACTTCCAGCCAAGATGGAGGCTTAGTTAAATACACTTTGCCTCCATGCACACTCCAGCAAAAATTACAACTAGACTACAAAACAAATAAGCAGATTCATCAGAAAACTGAGCTGTATGGAAGTCTGTCAACCAAGGATTTAAAGAAGCCACAGTCCTCCAGACTGTAGGAGGGGCTGAGACTCGGAGGCACTGAGAGGCGTGGAGAGGTGGTGGGATGGGCGGGCCCACCTGCAGCTGTGGTGGATAAAAATGAGGAGGGACACCTCAGGAGTGAGCAGTCCCAGCCCCAGGCCAGACCGCACAGCCCAGGTTTCCTGTGCCAGGAAGGCAGGTCCCTATAACTTCTGGCTGCAAAAAGCAGTGGGGGTTGGGGTGGCGGAAGAAACTGCAGGATTCTCGAGAGACTTCTCTAAAAGGGCCCGCAACAGACTTAGGACTCGGGCAGATCCACCCTGTCTGGGATGCAGCACCAGGGCAACAGCTGAAGGGCACAAGGGGCGTGGGGGTGGGGCAAGGAAAAAGAAGTGACTGGCCAGGAAGTGAATGCCAGGAGGCAGCTTCCTCCTGGGCAATCACCAGAGACCAGGCGGCAGCACTGTCCCCTCTCTGAGCCCTCCCACACACAGAGCCACGGAGCCACAGACGGGGAACCGCGTTGTCCTGCCCTGGCAACTACCTAAGGCTCCGCCCCACACAGTGTACAGGTGCCTTTTCTACAACAGGCCACACTACTAAGACAAGGAGTCAAAGCAACTCTACTAATACACAGAAACAAACACAAGGCAGCTGCCAAATTGAGACAAAGAAACATGGCCCCGATGAAAGAACAGATCAAAATGCCAGGAAAAGAACTAAATGAAATAGAAATAAGCACCCTGTCAGATGCAGAGTTCAAAACACTGGTTATCAGCCTGCTCAAAGAACTCACTGGGGACGGCAAAGGCATAAAAAAGACCCGGGCAGAAATGAAGGCTGCATTAAGTGAAACAAAGAAAAATCTACAGGGAACCAACAGTGGAGGGGATGAAGCTGAGATTCAAATAAATGGTTTGGAGCATAAGGAAGAAAAAAGCATTCAATCAGAACAGCAAGAAGAAAAACTAATTTAAAAAAATGAGAATAGAATAAGGGGCCTCTAAGACATCTCCAAACAGACATCTGAATCATAGGGGTGCTGGAAGGAGATGAGAAAGAGCTAGAAACTTATTTGAAAAAAATAATGAGAGAAAACGTCCCTAATTTGGTAAAGGAAATAGACATACAAGTCCAGGAAGCAGAGAGAGTCCCAAACACATGGACCCAGTGAGGGCCACACCAAAACATATTATAATTAAAATGCCAAAGGTTAAAGATAAAGAGAGAATCTTAAAAACAGCAAGAGAAAAAGAAGTTAGTTACCTACGGGGGGGGGGGGGGGTTCCCATAAGACTGTCAGTAGATTTCTCAAAATAAACTTTGCAGGCAAGAAGTATTCAAAGTAATGAAAAGCAAGGACCTACAACCTAGATGACTCTATCCAGCAAAGCTGTCATTTAGAATTGGAAGGGCAGATAAATGCTTCCAGATAAGGTAAAACTATGGAGTTCATCACCACCAAGACAATATTACATGAAATGTCAAAGGGGCTTATTTAAGAAAAAGAAGAGGATCAAAACTGTGAACATTAAAATTGCAACAAAATCACAACTATCAATGACTGAATCTAAAAAG